AGCTAATGACACCCATCAATCACAATGACAGATAATCTCTCACCCTTATCACAACAAGACACTCACAACAAAAAACACGCTGATCACCATAAACACCCAATCTCCTGAAAAGGACAAAAGGTGATCCCACAGCTATAAATACTCAACTATCCAAACTAACTGCACCAGAGCACAGACAGAGTTCTGACTCCTGTCCTCTGAAGATGCCGGGCCACAGAGACTGGTGAAACGTTAGGAAGAAAAACCTTAAGAACACAGCCAAACAGCCCGGGAAACCCACAACAACCATTTAAATATTGTCTTTCAAGGATGTAAGCCGGCTTGGGTCCTTTTTAAGGAGAAATGTTTGAAATAAATAAAATAAATTAGTGTGATATCAGATTTGATTTCTTGTTTTATCGCCCTAAAGCAATGGTTCCCAACCTTGGGTTTCCAGTTGTTCTTGGGCTAAAACTCCAGTATTCCAGAAATCCAGCTAGTATTCTAGCTGGATTTCTGGAAGTTGTAGTCCAAGAACATCTGGAGACCCAGGGTGGGAACCCATGCTACCTGGTTTGAACTTTTTCTTCTCTAAGCTTACAAAAGGTCTGTGTTGCTTTGTGCCATCAAGTTGCTTTCAACTTATGACTTTATCAATAAATGACCGCTCCCCCCAAAGCTTAAATTATTGATGTTTCTTCTGCCAGTTTTTAGTTTGCCTTCATCTCATCTGCATCAAGTCCAGCTTTTCAAATGGTATGTGCTGCATACAGACTGAACAAATAGGGAGATAAAATACATCTATGCTTGACACCATTGACTATGAAAAACCATTCTGTTTCTTTCTATTCTGTTTTAACAGTAGCTTCTTTTCTAGAGTATAAATTATACATCAGGATAATCAAATGTGCAGGTACACCCATTTCTTTTAGAACAATCCAAAACTTTTCACCATTTACACAGCCAAAGGCTTTGTTGTGATCTATCAAGCTCAAAATGACTTTCTTCTGAATCCTCTTTGGTCCACACCATAATATTAATGAAGATTGCATTCCAATGTGATTCCTACTTATGGGGGCCTCTTCCCAGATTTTCTAGGGTTTTCAGGTGTATTCAGAACTAATTAATCATTCCTTTCTTCTGTGGAGTGCCCTCCAATTGTACATCTTGCCCATGGCCACACAAGTTGGCTTGTCTCCCAGGAGATGTAGGAGAGAATTGAACTCCCAACCTCTGGATCTGCAGCTAAATCCCAACCATGAGATATCATATTTGCAATCTCTCTCTTGGACTAGAGATGTAAAATGTCCCCCAAAAACCCAATTTTTCTGGGGGAAAACACATCCCCCCCCATAATTCTTTTCTGGAAAAAAAAGATTTTTAAAAATTTTACATCTCTAGAGATAACTTAAATATATAAAGTCTCAGAAGTCTTTCATTAAGTTATTCATGTTATATATTTTGAATACCATGCCATAGACATATTATTTATCACTGTAAGAAGGCATATCCCACACTCCATATTTGTTTTCAATTTCTTTGGAGAAAAAACAAAAAAATGGCTTTGGAAAAAAAACAGGAAAAAAAAACTCAGGGGTTTTTGGTGAATCCTATTTTTTCCTGTTTTTATTTTTCTTTCCCGGCCTTCCCATCTTGACTCTCTCTCTTTTCTGAATCCAACTTGTGTGTTGGACATTTCTTTGTCCACATATGGTAAAAGTGTTTGTTGCAATACCATGATCATCACTTTGCTTGCATGGGAAATTAATGTAATGAAATGGTTACTGAACTCCTTGGCATCTCCATTCTTGGGAACTGGAGTATATACTGAATGTTTTCAGCCACTGGGGTGTTGCTTTGTTTGGCATATTTGTTGGTGTATTCCTGCTACATCAAATTTCTGAATAGTTCTATGCTATCCCATCCACACCTGGTGATTAATTTCTTCTGAATGTTTGGAGTGTAGCTTTCACTTCACTTTCAAAACTGCGATCCTGCTCAGTCCTGCTCAGTATAATCTTATAATCCTTTAATCTTTTCTGTACAGTTGTTCAGTTCTCTGCAACAGATCCTCCCTGAGTGTCACATTCCACTGTTATCACTACCCAATAGCTGCCCTTCAAGAGTTTCTCCATCCAACTGTCAATTCTCTTCTGATGATGTGATCATTCATTCCTTAAGAGGAAGGATGCCTCTTCACCTTGGGTGATCCTGCTAGGAACCGAAACTCATAACACAGCCTAGCCTACTAAGGGCATTGTTTTTAGCCTCCCCAATGCACTCAACCCACTTCATTGTGTTAAGGTGTTGATCCAAGAGGAAGGAAGAGGTTTTGAATTATTTGCCTTGACACCCCATTTTATACCATCTTTGCCAAATGAAGAGTTCCAGAGACACGGCTACATTTTCTAATTGCTGTGAGTTGTTTTTGCTACTGCTGTTGGGGGCTTGGCGTCATTTGCCATGAAAGTTCTTCCTCACATCAGTCACTGGAATTTTCTCACATATGCTTTGGGATGCATATTGGCTGCCTGTGCAAACCAGGTACTGACTTTCTGCATCTTCTCTTCAAGAACAGACTTGAATAAAATATTCATGCAGACAATGGAGACTTTGTCATAAGGTCTTTGCCTTGCTTAGGAAAGGGAACTGAAAAAATGCATATGGAAACTTACACAAAGAGGTGAGAGCAGCTGTCACCACAACCAACCTCCCCGACCCTAGGCAAGGGAGAGAGAAGCACAGTGAGATTATGTGAGCAGTCAGCAAAACACATGCTGGCAGGAAAGTGAGAAAATAGCAACAGAGGTCTTTGATGGGCTGTGAGGACAAAACAAACAGTCCCTCAAGCTGAAAAGACCAGCCTGGTGAGCACCAGACAGGCAAAAGGAAGCATGTCAGTGGTTACTTATTCACACAAAGTCTGCACCCACACCTTCATGCATGGCCATCCCTAATTCAAGTGGCAGCTAGCTCCTTACTGCCCTTGTCTGAGCTTCCCCCCCCCACTCAGGATCATTTAGGGATGGAGGAGGATAATTGTCATGGGAAATGAGAGAA